TTACGCATAGGACTTGAAATTGTTGTATCCAGATTCTTCTTATTATCTTTATTTTTCTTTTGCCATTCTCCTTTGTAATCTTTTTGTAATCGTCTAGTTACGTCTTTTCAACTCTTGAACTTTCTGTCGCATTTGATTTAATCCATATTTAGCTTTGACAACTGCTCGACTTGTTCTCTTTCTCGTCTGAATTTTGTTTTTAAATGTCTATGGAAAATTCAGCTTTACTAGCGCATTGCAGGTTGCTGTTGTTTTGTGTTAGATCTTGTTGAACACTCCAGTAATTCATCTTGGTCATTTTGTGGGATTCTATCTTTTTCTCTCTTTTTTGCAATGCACTGTCGTATTTTCGCCCTCCTCTGTTCTGGTTTTCTCTTTGGGAGTGCTGATGTCTCAACGTAATAACGTTAAACTCTAACACTCTCTTTCTTAAGATACGCATTTCGATCCTTTTCCTTTTTGCGATCTATGTAGGATTTTTGGATTTTTGCTCTGCTTTTCCCCATTTCAAGCCAATCTAATAGGAAAATATGTAGTTCTTTTTCGTCTATATCTTAATAATAATAAAATAAATGACTCATGAAAAATATATCGAACCCTGGTCTCCCACTTATGGAAGCGAGCACGCTATCACGTAACACACAGTAATTGGGGGACGAATTTTACAAAATGACGCTTTTTCAGGGTTTTTTTTTTGTGGGGGTGCATTTTTTTGGCAAAGCTAAATATTTTATCTCAATTATTATTTTAGTAATCGGCCATGTATTGGACTTGCATATGCGCCCTCCTTTCGTAATCACTGCGTGGATACACATTTTTGTTCAGTACATGGAGATAGCGAAACAGTTGTTTCCTTCATTTCGATACTCCCGTTTATTTTAACAACATCATCTCGTAAATAAAAACGTTGAATATCCTTACTTATTTCACGTGAATAACGTTACAAGATGTGTGAATTACGTTTACTCGCTAAATAAATATGAACCCTTACCATACAGGGCTTTCAGTGCTTTGATTTTTTGTGAATGTAAGTTCGACATATTTTCTTATATTATTACACGGTTTTTATCTTATACATCAAAATTATGACTTGTTTATGTCTATTTTAATATTTACCTATAACAGAAAGTTCATACACTTTTGTTAAATTGTGTGTTTTGGCATTTTCCCAAAGCGCAAAATTCGTCTGCTATAGTTTCCGGTTGTGAATAGTGAATAAACAAAAGATTTTTGCACGAAACAAAAGGTTAAAAGAACTTATTTTCATAGTAACGAAGTTCACATCACGTATTTCACATTTTATGACAGAACAAGATTTCTTCCATGAATAATTGCCTAGAACGATGTCAGCCATACATGTTTTTGCATTTTCCCAAAGCACAAAATTCGTCTGCTATAGTTTCCGGTTGTGAATAGTGAATAAACAAAAGATTTTTGCACGAAACCAAAGGTTAAAAGAACTTATTTTCATAGTAACGAAGTTCACATCACGTATTTCACATTTAATGACGGAACAAGATTTCTTCCATGAAGAATTGCCTTGAACAATGTCAGCCATACATTTTTTTTTATTAGGCTTATGGTAGTGCTAAAATACTGGGTAAGTTTTATATCTTCTGAATACCTGTTTATGAAATATTGGCGTAACGTAGTTCACATTATTAAATATTTGTATTCTTTTATTCAAATAAGTTTGTATATAAAGTATATAAAGACACATATCTATTTTACAAATAAAATGATACACCTGTTTTAAAAAGGTCAAATGGCTATTATTTCGTTCTGTTTAGACACATTTTCTCTGCAATATTATATGGAGACATGAATTCTACATGTCCGTAACGTAGTTGACTTGAAATGACTGGAAATTTGAAAAACAAAATATTTAATAGATTTTTCTCGTTTTTTATATAGATTAGACCGTTGGTTTTCCTGTTTGAATGGTTTTACACAAGTCATTTTTGGGGCCCTTTATAGCTTGCTGTTTTCGGTGGGAGCCAAGGCTCCATGTTGAAGGCCGTACTTTGACCTATAATGGTTTACTTTTACAAATTGTGACTTGGATGGAGAGTTGTCTCATTGGCACTCATATCACATATTCTTATATTTATTTAACTTATACACGTACCTTGCTATTCTTATCTGCATCTGTAACTGTAGAAAGGTAAACAGCGCGCAAATTGTACCGTTATCGATCGTTTTTGTTTCGAAAAATGCAATGTCCTCTTTCGAAAACGCTATTGGACACAGCGTTTTGACTTTGCATTCAAACTTCTAAGTATTATAACTTTTTAGTTTGTCGTCAGAATCTTACCTAAATTGAGGACTTTATTGTAATTTTTTTGTATTATAAGAATACACCCCATTATTAGACCAACTAGTTTTAATTTGATCTTAAGCGGCACTGATATGTGCTGAACTAGTTTATGTGGTATTGGTTCCATTTAACTAATTTTAGCTGTAAAGCTCATTCGACACGAGATTTCATGAAAAATACATTTCAAAAATGTGTACAGTACATGTATTAACTTGTGATCTATTTGGTACGTTGTTGAAACTATTCATATTCGACGAGATGCGATGCAAGCTTTTATTGGTTTTAAATTATAATTGATTGAAACCAACAATCTTTGACATCCATAATGTAAGCTAGGATATCAGGTAAGTGTAACAAGTAATATCAAAATTGTAAAATTTAGTTCACAATTTGGAATTTTGTGAACGTACATGTAGTTACACTTATCTGATATATTACCCACCTCCTTCCTTTGTAATACTTTTGGCAATCCGTTTGGATTTCCCCGGGAATACTGAAGGGGTCACCACGCTTGATCTGATTCATTGAGAGGTTGGGGTTCTTAATCAGTCAAACGTTTGAGCGAGATGTGACCAAGTACCGGAAAGATAATCCAGAATGTAAGGATATCAGGTAAGTGTAACTACGTTAACAAAACTCCAATTTGTGAACTAAGTTGTACAATTTGAAGGGTGCGACGGTAAATTTCCAAAATTACATAGTAAGGTATTCTTTCAAGGGAGGTATAAATTGTTGAGTTCTATGATATACCCTCGATCGATAACCTACATTCAATCAACATTGCAGTCTAGATATAGATATATCTTTTAATTTACTTATGCAGCGATCACCTATTTATGTTTTATAAGTCTCCGTTCCGAATAAAAGTAAAACCATGATCAATCATCGGGATTTTGATTTTACAATAATGTATTCAAAGATGAGGATTTCACGTTTTACCAAATTTCAAAATGTTGGCATAGGTTTAACGAACCAAAAAATATGGCAAATGCATGCCATTTTTATCATAAGGTTGTTTTCACCATAAGTCGAATATTTTCAGGACATAGATTTGCCTAAAATATGTTGATTAGCCAATAAAATCCATCCCTAGGATTTCAGAGCAGTAAACACATTAGTTTTGTATTCAAAATACTTATTTGTATCTGTATCATAAATTGTACATCAGTAGACTCAAATTTTCAACCTCAAAACAAAAATATTAAACTCAGCTATTCACCTCAAACTAATTGTACTATACTTTAATTTTCATTTATCTCTATTTTTGATTTGTATGAGTTAATAGAAATAGGTAAAATTTTTATTAACCAGTTTATATAAACAATGTCGATATTTCAGATCGTTTGCAAACTGTCGATTTCTTAAGATTGAGATACTTGCTTTTTATGGACAGAGTATAGTTTTTTGATACATGTATTTAAAGATTTTTAAGTTTTATACACATTGTTGAATTTTCCAGCATCGAAATTTTGAGTTAAATTGCAATATATTGATATTTTCAAAATCGATTTGTATGTGATATTTTGCAATATTTCAACCGAGTTTTTTGAGAAAATTAAACAGTAATAGAAGGTTATCGTAGACTTCCGTATATTGGAACTAGACAAGCATACTTTTGAAAAGTATTGTTGTTACGTAAGAATATAACAAGTAAACTGGTTAAAAATAGGAAAGTTAAGTTAATCATTTAACAAGTGAACAAAATTTAGTTAATTTGTTCCCGGTTATACAACCTGAACACGACAAATATACTTTAGTATATACTTTAAGTACTCTTGTAATATGTACTTTTCAAGTGAACTTATCAAAAGTCGTAAAGTGAAAAAATAACCGAACAAAAATATGTTGACAAGTTTTTATACAATACATCCGACCTGTTTTTGACAACAAAACTGCAACACAACTGAACAACGTGTGACAATTGCAAGCTTCCATACCATTATCACAACGGATGACCTTATTATTGTATCGTTGTACGATATCATAATAAGGTCCCTGTTGTGTTTCACATTTGGTTTTCGTCTTATGGACTCTTGTATATGGATTAAAATAGTTCTTAAGGTTCATCATAAAAAATTGACAAAAATGGCAGTTTGTACACCTCAAAAATTACTGTGCAATTGGAAAAGTTTTAAGGCCTATTGTCCACTAGATATTTAAAAGCTAAATGCATTGGATTTTGATGGTCATTTTTTTCATCACTGCAGAAGATGGTAAAATAGACAAACATCTGACTTACATTTGATACTGTCCTCTCAGTAACACTGTTTAAATCATCCATTGATGTGAATATATCTATATATTTTCATACTATTGTCAATATCAATCAGTACAATACAATACAACTGTTACCTGAGAGGGACCACCTGACTTATTTTTTTAACACCTTCTGCAGGAACAAAAATAATGCCCATCTAAATCAAAAAAGTTTTTATCTTTTTGAAACACATAATGTATTTTACTTCTATATACATGTATCTAGTGGTTGGTAGGCCTTTAAATTTTTCCAAATGTCCGTGTTTGTCTGTACTCTGAGTGATTTTCGAGGTGAAAAAAAACATCCATTTTTGTCCATTTATTACAGTTTGTCTAAAATTACATTAAAGGGAAACTTTTATGTTGAAAAATACACAAAATATTTCGTAATTATATCAGGAAATATGATACCTGTTTGTGCCCCTATTTCATGCACATCTTATTTATTACTAAACAACAATGTGGCTACAAGAAACAAATATCTTTACCTGTAAAAGTACGAATATCACTTCATAACATATCACAGAACTATGTCCGTTTAATTCACAACATAAGGTAAGAAATTTGTAACGATAAGTATTTCGTTCAAAGATTTAATATATAAATTCAAGAAAAGACTTTTCATTTATATCTTACTTTGCCAGCCACTGTTACTTTATTAAATAAGCTGAACCTTCAATTAAATTTCTTAAAAACATATGATTATTTTGCAATATATCTGTCGGTACAACACGAATGCTCTCGCTTATTACAAAAAAAGTCAGTTATCGTTTCGCAAAAAGTCGGTCGACCGCAACGAAACCTAAACAATATCTGTAGGACATTATTGTACACTCATAAACCAATGACCATGCTTATCTGTGAATATGACGTTCAATGTCAACATACATTAACCGAAACTCGAATATATTTGTAAGATTAGTTAGGGAGATGCCTATTTTTAGCATTTACATTAATAGTTTTTATCCTGTAATCGACCTTTCTACTGGTCAAACACAGGTGTACCGACAAAACGTAATAATATACAGTTTACTTCGCAGCTCTATTTGGGGTCTTCATTGCGGTCCGCGTTTAAATCATGTCGATTTCATTCAAAAACAAATTCAACGGTTGGGATGATCTAGCATTTTTATCTATTGTCATACAAATTAACAACATCCAATAAAATTAGTACATTTGGCATACTAAGTCCTTATAACTGAATAAAGTAACATTCATTTTCAATGAAAAATTGTTTTAAAATTAATTTTGCTCTAAATAAAAGAGTGTGCTAGCCACTCCTTGTGATTAATGAAAGATAACTGTGGTTAATTTTTCAAAGCACACATTTACATGTACCCTTGTAGGGAATCAAGTTAAGCAAATAAATCAAGACATTCTATCTGCCTCATTTTAATTCTAACACTGTTATAGACACAATATTAAAAAAATAAATTAATGTATTTTTCAACGAGTACAAAAATGTACATGATCAATGTTGTTAGAGATTACGGGATACGGACAATAACTTAAAACAGTTTATTCCTGGCGGACAGAATGACTACAGATGTCAAATGAAACATGTGTTATTCACCTAAATGGTGTCTTCCCAATTGTCCCACTTTTTAAAATAACATGTAAAAAAGGAATGGGTTGTTATACAACTGTTCAAATTAAGAACAATATAATACAAACAAAAACTAGATTAATTTAACTTCATAGAAGATAAAATAGACATCAAGGAAATAAATTGTAAATTGAATAAATTGAAAAATTTAAAAGTATCAAGGATAAAACTAAAATAAAAGATGTGTGTAGAGAAAAAAAGAAAGATACAAAAATGATTTCACATGTTACAAAATTTCGGAGTCTTGTTCTCAAATTTGCAGATTTTAGGATGATTATAGATATATCTACGAAGCAAGGAATTAAAACATATTCCATATAAAAAGTCTGATCATACTTGTTCAAGTAATCTTTCAGTTCAAGCGACAAAAGTGGGAAAGGGTTTTTTGATGAAAATATTCAGCAGAAAATCCTTGAATTAGAAAATCGTGAAATCGAAATGATATGCAGCTATATCAGTTTTATACATATCTGGTCGATCATTAACAATATAATGAAAACACTTATCCCCGGCTGGGTTAAACCAAAGACTTGAAAGTTGGTATTTGCTGCTTCTCCGCTAAACACGCAACATTTAGTAGTTAAGGCATAGACTGATTGGCCCAGAGTCAGAATATTGTGTCTGTTTAGGCTAACCCATAGATATAATAGCTATTATATCTATGGGTAACCTAACTTCCATGTGGACTGTTATCTTGTAAACTAGTACGTTAAAAATCCGGCTCAGTGTGTTGGACTAGTTTAAAGTAGGTTTCATATTCATCTATAATAACAAACACCCCACCATAGTAAGTCTGTAATAGTTATGGTAGTCAAGGTATAAATCAATGTACGAAAGGGGAATTATATCGAAAAATTAGGGAAAAAATCCATATTTTTTGTTAATTGATCTAGAATGACATTTTTTTTAACAAACAGTCATAAAACGTATCTCATGAGTTTTGATGTTCATAGATATAAGAAAAATTACCATCTAGGAGGTTATATGACATCCTTGTTACCATGAAATTTAATATTTTCATTTGTCCTTATGTAACAGAGACGACGAAATTGGTACCGAACCGTTGCTTATTGCAGTTAAATCACCATTAGTAATGAAATTACATTTACTTTTTTTTTAATAAAACTGCATGGCATAATATTAGCTGTGTTCTTTATAAACTTATAAACACCAGCATACAAAAGTTTGTCTAGCTTTCTGACAATAAGCTATATATATATTCATTCATTTACAATCATTCATTTATGCTTTGAACAAAAAATGTTCAATAAATCAATTTTAGACAATTGTTGAAAAATAAAAATATAAATTCTAAGACTAAATAATTGAAGGATAAGTCATTTAACAGTTAAAATATATTTTTATTGATATTGATAAGTAGAGCTCTCTCTGATTGATAATTGAAGATTTATCAATTGTAATAACCAAAGACACGGAACAAGATTTTTGAAAAGGGGGATGCCAACAAGACAACGTTCATAGTTTGACTTGTTTAAATTAAACTCATTTATTATATTATAAGTAACTCCATAAGAAAGAGGGGCTCCATTAGTCTCTGGTAATAATTATAGAAAAGATATATTTTGTCATCATGAAGCCATTTAGGTCGCAAGCGCTTTTAGAGTGGGTCCCCCTTTTTATGTGTGTTTAATTCTTATTTTAAAGTTTTCTTTCATATTTCAACTTATTTTCACTTATCTTAAATTGTCTAACTCTTATCAGTGCTATTTGACAAAAACAGTACATGTATTTATATCTGATGTCCCTCTGTGCTTATTTTCTATACAGTGCAAGAAAGATAGAAAATTTGAATTAAGTCACGGATAAAAATTCACAGGACAATAAATCAAAGCTTATTTATGCAATAGTTTGTCTTTGATAAATAAATCAAAAAAAGCAATTTACATTGTTCATGAACAATTGATTATAAAAACTTGAAAAAACATTTTTCTTGTTAAGGATTTTTGCCCATGCACAAAGCAAGAAAGATCGAAAATTTAAATTAAAAAAAATCACGGACACAAAGACGTCGGACAAAACTAAATTAATAAATATAAGTTAGTTTTTATTAGTCGTGGCATATGCACCAGACAAAAGGTGTTTTGACATACAAGGAAAACCCAACATATCAACGAAGAAGGGCTTCTTGTGTTATGCATAAGATTAAAACTTGTCACCAAGTCTCCAGCAATCGGCTTTTTAATATTCATTTACAATGACAACACATTCATCATTTTAACAGAAACCAACATTCCATGCGTTACATTTTTCACACAAGAACATTTTGAACAGTATATTTCTAAAATGACCGAAAGACAACTTACATGTGTTTTGTATGGCACTATTAAGTACTTAAAAAGACAAATAAAAAGAAGAAATAAAAAAAACCCAGCGAATTAAACTATCTATACATAGATAAAACTAATCAACGTAATGAAGATATGATATGAATAAAAGGTCACAAAAACACTCAGAAAGTGTCAAACTAAAGAGCGAGGAACACGATTCCCTAAAAAAGGGTGATTTGAAAGATTTTTTGCATTAGTTTTTGGGTTCTTAAATTTGTTTTTGATAGTTCCACCACATTGATGTAATGTCATTACAGAATGATACTTCCGTGCATACATTTATTACGTGTACATATGTCACCAATTAACACAAGTTGTATTGTATCAGATTCAATTAAATAAAACAAACAGTGGCATCCTGTTGAGCATAGGTGTAATACCACTAAATCATAGTACGTCACATCCGGTTGCATACGAAAATAGGTCGAAAAAAAATATTCCCTTGAATTTGACAGTTGTAGGTAATTGATCCTACATTTCATTGCAGTAAAACATTTCTGGGTCATAAACATATATCTTGGGTATTTCAAAGCACCATTATTTTTTTATTTGGGGTTTCTATAGAATATTTTGGAAACTTGAGGTTACATGGTTACTAAAGCTTGTATACAGGTTAAAAAAGGGGGAAAATTTGATTGGTTAACTTCCAGTGATGGTTATTTTCTTATATGCAATGAAATGTTATGTGAAATTTTTTCTATAGTACTGGACAGGATCAAACTTTACTCATGCCAAGTATTTCTTTATTTGAAACAAAGATAAATTCTGCACAATTTTTTGAAAAGTGCAAATTTAACAAAGACTAATAGGGGAAAATCAATGGTGGTATTACACCTAATATAGGAAGCTGTACATGCACCTTTGACCTTGTGAGTACTCTCATGTGTTAAAATTTCTTGCTATTTAAGTGAAATATTACTAATAATGAAATATTTTGAGTGGATTGAGTCTCCAAAACACATTTTATGAGAAAATTTCCTTGAAATAGGACTTTACCATGAATATTAGTTGACAGAATAAGCCATACTTAGAGTTTTGGGGAGCTTTTTCTCCTTTTTTCTTATATTCTGCTATACTAGAAAATTTTTCCTAAGAAATACTTTAATAAATATATAGTTTTAAGTAAATGAAATTATTTTTAAAGCAGTAACAACAAATTATTCACCAAAAGAGAAGCTTTTTATGTCCCTCTCTGGAACGCGGCGTAAATTTAAGTTTTACGTAAGGACTTATTGAAACCTCCTTGGAGACAGTAAACTTTTATACGGATAGTTCATTCAGCTTGAATACTTCAATTAATCATTTATAATAACATTTCTATCATAAATGAGTGAAAGTTACCCCAAAATTTTTATTTATTGGCCTATAAAGTAGAAATTTTGAGGAAATGAGAGGTATAAATGGACCAAAAGAGACCTTATAAGGAAGACAAAGAGGTCCATTGGTAGTATTTATCATCCTAAAGTCATCTTTTGTATCATATTCAACTGTTTGTAGGCAGATGAGATAAATATTTGATCATTTATTGGTCCACACTATATTCTATCATGATGCGGCTTGGTTTGGATTTTTCGAAGAAATTTAGCTCGAATCGCTGCAGA